GCATTTGCAAGTGAGAATATCTCCATAAGGGGTCTTTGTGTTTTTTCAGTCTTTTTTTTTTTTTTTAAGTGTAGAATATGTGGTGTGGGGGTAAGATGATTACTGTAACAAGGACATCTATTAGACATCACTCAGAGAATGATGGAATTCCCAGCATTTATGATTGAAAAACTAAAATATACTTTTGGCAAAAAATATTCAAATGGGAGCAATTCTTCTTTCCAGGTATATGGGATAGATTTAATTTTTTTATCCATTGCTTAATTTTAAGGAAAAATTACATAAACTGTATTTGAAAATATTGTCATTGAAAGGTGCTACTTAACCTCAGCAGAAAATAATTTGTTGAATTTTTTCCTTTTTTTCCATTAGAGAAAACCAAGAAACAAAAATCAAACTAAATTGTGACAATCTACTTCAATTGCACTCCTATCTCCTGAAGCCAGGAGTGCAAGATTTGCGGCCATGTGTGTGTCCCATGTCAGTTCAAACCATTTTTTTCTCTGTGATTCAGGTCAATGCCTTCAATCAAATAGCTGTAAATGAGTTTGTACATAATGTGTTATCCTTAAAACTGGTGGCTTGGAAACATGAAGGTGATTTGATTTTTCAAATGATCTCCTGTTTTTATAGGAGATAATAATAATCTCCTTCAAATAATCTCTGAGTTTTATAAAATAAGCAATGTGTGTGTCCCACAAACCCAGCAATCTGTGGGGTTTTATTATCTTTATTATTGTTGTTGTTATTAATATTAATATTAATAATAATAAAGAGATATGTTTAGATGTTTGTTCTTTTCAAAAACTATGAAGTATGCATTCAAAATACCATTCTGTAACAAAAGCCTTTCCTCTGTGAAGGTAAAAGACCTGCATGGCCAAGCCAATTTAGGTAGACTGGAAAGCTGATAAGAATTGGCAAGAAGCCATGGATTAGATTTCATGAAACAAAGAAATCAGGAAAAGGCTACAAAATCTGAGATAGCCCTAGAAACACCAGGAAAATTGGAAATTGGTTCCTTACTGAAAATATTTACAGCGATGAGACAAACACATTCTGCATTTTAACTCTTCCATGCAGTAAAGGAGGTGTGCTGGTATAAACAATCAGATTCTAGTTTTGTGAGGATGCTCTTCCCAAAGGTGCTGTGAGCCAGGCACTGAGTCTCTGGATGACAAACCTGGGGAGGGGAGAGCAAGCATGATCTGGAGGAGCATGAAACACAGGCACAGGCAGCAGATCTCAGCAGTGTCAGGGATGACACAACCTCAGGAGGCCTTTGCAGCTCAGCCAGCCTAGGTGGGAGGTCAGGAGCCAGAGACCACAGGGAAGATTTATTTTTTGACTCCACTGACTTGACCTGCAAGCTCCTTGCAGAGCAGTACAGAAAGACATAAGGGGATTTGATGAAGCATGGGATGGGGTATTTGCAGGATTATTTTAGGCAAACATACTTGTCAAATCCTGTTGATTCAATAGGTTCTTCTCTGAAATGAGATAACAAAACAGTTTATTAGTCAGATGCAATTTTTCTCTTCTGGATAATTTTAGTCTTAATATTTTTTTGCTAGTGGCAAACCTGTACTAGTGGTTTGAACATCAATGAGTGTCCTTATACTTTATTTGCTTTGAAAATACCTAGAGGGATATTGTGCTGTTCTATCAGCCCAGAGGAATACTGTATCAGTCCTAAATTCACTGATGCTCTAGATATTTCCCATGATTAGACTCCCTTAACAATCAGAAAGAACCTACAGTACTACAAACCTTTTCCAGAATCCAAGAGATAAACAAATGTAAGCAACCAGAGTACCTAGGGAGCAGGTTTCATATTTTTAGCAGAGGGTGGATAGCTCCCTCAGATCTGATGCTCAAATCCAATGAAATATGCATTTATCTCCCTTTCCTTTTCATGCAAATAAAGTTAATTGCTTCATTCCTTTCTCTGATCACCTCCAGGGTTATTTTTCTGGATTGTGAGTTACAATATTCTCTTCTGTCTAAGAGAAAGACTAAGGGCAGTAGTTAAAGCACAGAGATGCTCCATTCTGTGAAAATGCACACATTTTTGAAAAACACACTTAATTAGGCCATTTTTAACTTGGTTTATCTAACATAAGAGATGTCTCAGTATGTTAGTTCTCAGTTGCTCTCTATAAAACACTAAATAAATGTTTATAAAATTTTTTCTGCTTTCCCACATCATCATAATCTGTCTGTATTTTATTGATATGAATGGATGTGTGAATGTACTTATGTATTCCCTTGCTTTCAGCAGCTGACCAGTACATTATCAAATAACTACTTATTTGGGGGAGTTTAATTTATGACAATTTCCACATACCTAATTTCCAGAAAATGCTGACTATCTAGTGTTCCAGGCTGTAAGGCAATGTAATAAATTCAGCATTTAGAATTGTCAGTCACCCCTACAGATCTTAGCCATACATTACCAAAAGAAAGGCTTTTTTGTTCATGGTTTGATTTGGTTTGTTTTCTGACTGAGTGTGAATAAATCATGTCAGCTGTAAAAAACCCATTGCAGGGTGATTCCAAGGAGGAAATGGACACATTCTCTTGTGTTTTGAAAACATAAGGATATGAAACCTGATATTTATGAGGGATTTCTCATAATGACTGAAATCTAGAAAATTATTGGAGTGTCTCTTACATAGTAGGAAAGAAGCTGGTGTCCTTTTTTCAAAATTAGCAGATGAAGAAATAAAAGCACTGACAAAATGATTCACATATCCTGTGGCATACCAGTCACTGTTTTTTCCAGATGTCTTTTCCTGGTGGAAGAATGAAGGGTTTAAGCTGGTACTTATACTTATGTGCAGACAAGACCTGCACACTATCTCTTTCTGTCTCATCTTTGGACTTCAAATTGGTCTTAAACTTCTTGTAGCCCCTTTGTTGCAAAGTATTTTGGTAAAGTTGTGCATCTTGCTGGGAAGATATAATCCAGAGTTCAAACCCACCTCCTGTGTTTATCTTTCTCCATCCCACTACAGATTCAATCAGACGTATACATTCGTGAGGCCACTCAGGCTTTAGTGACATTCTGGTTTATAGCTTTTTTTCTCTTTCTGGGAGAATTTTAAACAAATTAATCCCTTCCCTTTTTTTCCCTTGCCACGTTTTGGTTCTTTGAAATATAATATATTTAAGAAACTCCTGGGATCTGAGGCATACCACCAGGCATGTGGGTTCCCTCAGGTTTATAACTCAGCCCCCCAGCCCTTCTGGCATTGAGGGCTCAGACTGAGTCATACCCCTTGTGTGAAGTCCTGAGGTTTAAGTCGAACACTGCATAGCTACAGATCTGGCCAAAATGTGCAAAAAGAAATAATTAGCACCTATGGGGATGTTTTTTAGCCCTTGAACAACAAAATTAAAAACCAGTCTTTTCTGGTGATACCAATGCTTTAAGGACAAGTATGTAGTGTGTAGGAAAAATGGATTATAATTTTAATGGGAGCTTAATTAAAATAATTTGGAAGATCTTTGTTTGAGCCACATGAAATTGCTCATACAGATATCAATAAGTGTTCTTGCAAAGATCCACCAGCACCTATAACAATCCTCAGACCAAAGTTCTGGGAAAAAAAGATAGGAATAAATTATTCTCACAGTACTCTGAAAAGTTGTGCTAATCCAACCCCACAATATCTCATAGACACAAAGAGAATAATATCCTAATTAGTGCCACATGAGATTTTAACATTACCAATTTCAAAAATCTCTAAGCAATTTTGAACAAGATGAGTTTATAGAAATAAACTTAGATAAAAATTATTAACAATAGTGGGGAATTACTTAAGGATATTGTCAGTCATTAGTCAAGAAGCTGTAACCCCATAATCCAAAGGGGGGCTGATTAGAAAAGCATGTTTCAAGGGAAAAATAAAACAGCTCTTTAAAACATATCTAACTATTGTAAAATGAAGTAAACTGGAATTATTGTAAACCAGAAAACAGGACTTTAAATCAATTGGATAAACTAAAGGCTGTGATGAACAAATAGAATTCTTGCAGAATGAATCTTATTCTATTTTTCAGTGGTAGAACTGTCAATTGTATTATAAAGAAAATGAAACAGTTTAGGACATGTTATCAGAAAATGCTTGAACAGAACAGGAAAATGAAAAATTCAAGATTTTTCTTTGTTTAGTACACAGGGGGAAACAGAGGATCTGTTTATATTGTACAGATACCATAGAAAAAATAATAGAAAAACAATTTGATTTTTAAGTAATTTTAAGAAGTTATCTAGTATATTTCATAACCCTCAAAATACTTATATCTTTCATGGCATTATATTTTCTACTGTGTTTTTACAGACATCCAGCACTGAAAATTTTACAGTCCCATTTGGCTTCCTATTGCAGTGTTCTGTTGTACTTGTCTATACCATGTTGTTTCCTATCTAATTGTTCCAAATCTCTTTTACTTCCTGCTCCAGATTAAGCCAACTGCTTTTTGACCAACCCACCATAGTCACTTAGAACAATTAATCCTTTCATCCCTGCAAAACTATTTACACAATTCAGCATTGTTATTATGCCTGCTTCATTCTACTTTTTGTTAGATGAGACAAATTCTCATGTTTTCTATACTGCTGGGTGTTTTTGTCAATCATGTTTGGATTCCCTTCTATATTTTCATGTCTTTCTTGAAATGTGCTGTTCAAAATGGAATTCCAGCCACTGTTAAGAGCAGGATTATTTCCTATGTCTGGTCCAGTTTATACATCCCACTTAATGTTTGTCTTTCCACAATAGCCAAACATTTCTGATTTGTGTTCAACAATGATACAATCAAATTCTTAGATGAGCTTCTAAAACATGGGTGCACTCCTGGGGTTTTTTTCCATCCTGTATCTGTGTGGCTAATTGTTTCTTAAACTTGCAACTACTGAATTACATGCAGTCTTTTTTTTAGATAACTTCTTCAGTTGGCTGTAATAATTTTGATTTCTCTTCCTTTTCTTTTAGCCTCCAATCCACTGCAAAATTTCATGAGCATGATCTCTCTTCTCTCCTCAAGTCATAAAAATATTGAGCATGCCTAGATTCAGGGCGGTGTGACACTGGGTAAGTCCTATCACTGACTATTGCTAACAGCTATCTGGAACTGCTATCCATTTGAATTTTGCATGCACTCTAAAGTCCATACAAGACTTCCTAAGGATCCTCAGAAGATGATCAAAAACCTCATTAAAAGGAGAATATACAGTGCCATTACTGTATTAGCTGTTCAGTTACTGTGTGAGCGAAATAAATTAGGCAGAATTTGTTCTTGGCAAGTTTCTATTAGCTCTTAATCTGATGAAATAGTTTCCACTTTGACAGAAGATACTAAACAAAAACTACTAAAACTTGACATTTCAACCAGTGAATAAAGGTTAACTTGCATCCAAGATTTTAAAAAGAGCTTGTTGAGTGTCTGTTTAAATTGCAAATATAATTTTCCAGTAAGTTTGGAAAGAGAAGGGAAGTTCCAGTAGAATAGAAGAATCCCAGTGTCACGCCAATATTCATAAAAGCTAAATAGAATGAACCAGTTGTAATCCTTGCCTTCCCAAACATTAGTCTGGCTATCTAAACAACTGGTGAAGAAGTTCATTAATAAAGATTAGGAGAAAGTGGTGTAATAGAAGCCAATTAAGATGGCCTGTACAGGAAATTGTGTTTTCACAAAAGACTTTGCATTTTAACTGTAATAATATTTTGATTAATTAAAATGCAAGAATTCATATAATATTGCAAAACTTTTGTGAAATGTTTGTCATGTCAGCTAATGGGTTCCACTTTATAAAAACAAACAAAAAACACAACCAAGAAATATATGACAACAGCAACAAAACAAGAAAAGCATAAGAGAAAACTAGTTAATTGAACAGCAACTGAAATGTGATTGTTTGCAGGAAGTCATCTCTGAGTGGGTAGGTTTCAGAGGGAAATCCAGGCATGACAATCTAATGTTAAATTGCTTTCCATTTGTATTGCTTTTCTGGGGAACCATATGAAGTCATTTCTGAAAAACTTTTGAGTGACAAAATTTTAATGGAAATATTGATAAGACAGAGAAATTTCCTATAAGCCAGGTAAAAAGAAACCATAAAATATTTATAGATATTTAAAGATATCACCTATAAAATCATACATTTATATTGTATGAGAGCAAAAATAACCATCTCAGAATTTTATGCATAAGTCAAAAGTCTTATAAAGCCCTGACTTTGACCAGTTGCAAGCTATGGTGGTGAACAGATCACATTGCAAGACTATGGGCAAAGGATGTCATGTTCTATAACTGCATGAATAAGAATATATTGAGCTGAAATAAGGAGCTTATTATTTCTGTTCAATGAATTCCTGTACTTGGCACAGTTCTAAAAATAACGTGTCTGATTCTGATCATTACAAAGCTGGTTAAAACACAGGTAAACATGTCTTGTTCTTGAAATCACAATATTTACTTTTACAAAAACATAGCTAAGTCACTTGACTGAAGCAAAATGTTAAAAGTCTTCATCTCCATACAGTGAGTATTTAAACAATATTATTATTCTTTGGACAGTTTTGTCCTATTTCAATGGTTGCAAATAGCAGAAGGAAAACCAAAATTGTGTAAGCATCTAAAATGTAAACATGTAAACAGTGTGTCTGCGTACTAAGGGGAAGCTGGCCAACCTAGTCATACATTTAGAAAACTGAAATAAATGGAGGAAAAAAAAATACATTTCTATTCCTTAAACTTTCATATTTTTTAATAGAATGTAATAAGAAATGCCTGGATTTCAGTCTCTGTAAAATGGAAATAACTTTTCATTTCCACTGTTTTTTCTCCATATGGAGTCTCCTTTCTTCAATTAGTTTTGTTACAGATTCTTACCTGCTTTTTGTTTTTCTCTTTTACTTTTCACATAAATTAATTAACATTTTCCCTACAGTTTCTCAGATGGGCCTGCAGAGAAGGGAATAAAAGCAGCCAAGACATAAGTCATTGAGCATATAATTGGTACATGACTAGCACATCTTGCACAATCTCAGAGTGAGCAATAGATCTGAATTTGACTTCTGAGGTCCTTCAGAAACTAACTCCATATCTACCTATGAAAAAATAACAGGTGGGATGAATAGTGATGGTATTTGTGCTCAACCTGTTAGATCTTCCAGACAAGAATGAACAATAGCATAATCTCCCATGAAACCACAAATAGTGCCACTCATTTGTTTAAATACACCACAAAAAGTCATGTAGAGGAGTATGTTCTTTGGAAACAAAAGTGAGCTTGCAGTTTTGTAGGTTTTTTCTAACCTTTTGCAGACATAAACATTAGTCACTTTCTCAGTTTTTCCTGTAATCGGTCCTAATTATATTTGTACAGTATGTTTTCATCATTAAAATGAACTGAACTTGCAAGAGGAATTTTTAAACTGCCAGTATTGAAACAAAACCACTCATGCACAGTCCAATGTTCTGCTTAATGAAAGGTGTACTTTTGAACACCTACAACTTGCATAGGATTTTTGTGATTTTTGACAATTTAGAAGTCAATTTTTATGGCTTCCATTTCACAAATGTTTTTATAAGACATTACACACCCAAAAATATATTCCTCTCAGTTACAGAGAACTTTGAAACCAGTAGAATAAAGCATTGGTTCTCTAAGAACTTACAAAGACTGCTGAGTTGGTTAAAGCCTTGGAAACAGGAGATGTCATAGTCATAATTTACTAATTAATCCAAAAGAACAATAATGCATTTTTTTACAACAGAGATAATCAATTTTTATGAATCGTGGACAGCTGAAAAGGAGATGAAAGGAAAATGCAGGGTTGGACTGGCTGACAAGAGGACAGTATTTCCTATGTGGTTTGAATAGCATCTCATAGCTATAATGTTAATCTTGAGACATGCCTCTAGCAATATATTCATAGCATAAATGAAAACACAGTGTCAAATACTTACCTTGTGTTAGGTGAAGCCTGCTGAAACTAGTACTTTATGGAGTCCATCCTTAAAAATTGATCATCCATTTAAAAACTGAAATCCATCAGTGTAGAAACGCCAGAACACACCAGAGGATTTGACAGGAAATCTTTTTAATTTTTACTACATCCAGGAACTAAAATTCAGCACTTAAATATTTGATTAAAAATCTGGTATGGGCTTTGCTAGATCTGAGTTGTTCCAAATATTTTGAATTAAAGTGAAAGGACATGCACCCAGATCATTTAAACTTATATTTACATTGACATTTAGGTATACCATGTTTGGTTACTCCTAAAATACTGTTTTAGCAGATGACAGGTATACTATGCTGGTTGCTTGGGGAAATAGCACATAAACCATCCTATGCTGTGACATTTGATATAAAATGTACTAGCTTAAAAAAAAAAACTTATATTGCTAATAGCTTATGACTTAGATTGAAAAGTTGAAAAGGAAAGCAGGAAAAAAAGTAGCTTTACATATATCTGTGGGATTTACTTGCACGTGAGGCACATAAATATGTTGCCATGTAATTATAATTGATTGTATGCCCACAGTAATACTGCTAACTTGCCCATGCTGCTTTTGGTGTCCCCAGAATGGGAGAGAGCTCCACATTCTGCCTTTAGCTGTATGTCACCCTTTTTATTTCTGAAATATTTTTTTCTAAACCAGAGCAAACAATTAACAGATTTTACAAAAAGTCATTTCATGCCTATCAACAGCACTAGACAGCTAGAGCAAATTTGTCAGCGTGGTATTGTAAAGTGCATTCCTGGAAGCTGCTAAGCCCCTACTAACACCATTTAAAAGTACCAGACTGCAAGGCTGAAAGACTTTAATTAGATAGTTTAAAGTTAGAAGGCTTTTAATTGCTACAAGCTAAAGTCCAGCTGAAGAGGAAAAGAATCATCCAGCTGCACATCCCAGTCTTGCGTTTGCCATGTTCTGCATGCCCATCTGTGGCTCTTAGCCACTACAATTTCCCATCTGTTAAAAATTATTTCTGAAAATATCTCTTCTGAATGATTTTCTACTGTAGGAAGACATTGAAAGGTATTTCTGATTTGGGCTAACCATACATATGCATATTTTTGGAATGAACTCAAACATTAGCTATCAAAATATTTCTGCTAAATTTTTGTTCTCCAGAATGTTTTTTTTATGCAAGACAGGTTTTATTTTATTTCACAAAAATAATTATAGTTTTCGATTTATTCTCTCTTCAAAAGCATAAAAGTTTAGATCTACTCGACCAAATTTAATTTGCAACTAAAAGTTAGTACTTTGTCAAATAAAAAGGAGATGGGAGAGGAGTAGTTTCAGTATAAAAAGCTGAAGCAGGGGTAGAAGGGAAGGGAGAATGTAAGTTTGAGATCACCCATGATTATTTCCTTTACTCACATTTGAGCATTTTGAGATTTTGGCTGAGAAAGAAGTGCTGAAATGCCGTGACCAAAACTGAAATTGTGGTATTTTTGGAAAGAGTAGAAACAGGAAGGATTAATAACCTCACAAAACAGCCTTTTTCTCTTGAGAATTCTAGCTTAATGTTGCAGTTTAATGCTGCAATATTCTTTTCAACTTGAAGCTATAAAACAAGACTACTGAAAGATTACTTCATATTGCAAGGTACAGCAATATATTTTAGTGCAAGAACAATGCAAATGTGTATGTTCATTTGTGTCAAGGGAAATGTGCCTGTTACATGGCAAAGTTCTGAGGTGTTACATCTCAGAACTTTGAGAGCAGATGCCTGCAGAAAATATTCAGGACTTCAAAAACAATGACCAAGTTTCACAGGGCCCTCAGTCAATTGCCACAAAAAGATGACTTCTGCAAAAATTTTGCATCCTCAAAACTAGAAGAGGTTTGGGATTTCTTCCTCTGGAGCAATACGAACGTGACACAATTTTTTCTTTAATCCCTAGGTCATACCTGTACCATGCAGCACTCAATTGCTGAAAACCATCAAGAACTGTGTGGAAAAGAATGAATTTCAAGGACACATGCATGAAAGTTTTCCTGAGTACATCCCTTCCTAAGATGTGTTGGAATTCACAGCTGAAGTTTAAATTTTCATACACTTTTTTTTACTCTACTGATTTCAATTTCTTGATTAGCTTTGTGCTTACAAAATTTGGGGCCATAATTTAGCCTTTTAGTTCAAAGTCTTGCCTGGTTTGACACAGCTTGAGATTTGAGGATCCTCCTCTTGTCAGGACTGGCAAAACCTTTGTGGTTACATGTGTATTGAAATTTAAAAAATATCTAGGGGCCATTCTTCAGTCCTGAGAGTGAGTAGGTTAGATTAGCCACTCCTATACTTTCCAAAACAGGCTGGCCAAATCCAGCCTGATCACTGCTAATGATTTCAGGCCTGTGTGTGCTCCTGATTGTGCCTAGTTACATCCCAGGAACTGTTTGAACAATTTCTCAGCACAGAAAATCAAGGTTCATAGCTTGTGCCCATCCTTGCCTATGCCTGTTTGATCAACCTTGTTTATTCCTTTTGAAGAGCGGAAAGCACATTTGATAGAAATCAAAATGTCACCAACCCCAAATGATATCTTCTGCTACCTGGATGTCGTTACATGTTCTACAGAACTTTGGTGCAGCCAAATAAAAAATTAAACAAATGTGGGGATAATGTTTTTCTTTGTTTCTTTGGGGCATTTTAGCTGTCTGGCAGGATCAGAAATAAAATATTATCCCCATATGTTGTTTATTTCCTCTGGATCCAAAATGTTTTGCTTCTGGGCACACTTAGCGAAAGCCAAAGATACAAGCTGCAGGAAAACTGAGGAACAGGATAGCTGTGCTCTCCCTTCCTTCTTTATATAGCTGCACTTAAGGAGCCTCAGGTTCATCTTTCTGTGTTCTGTGATCGAGAGCAGAGACATTTTTTCAGCTAATATTTGTGATTTGCAAGTAGAGAGCCTTTCTCCCAGGCTCCTGACAGTCTTCCACTTAGACAAAATACTGAGGTTTAGACAGGGGTGACTATGAGAAGCTGTGTTCTGGTTCTTTGTATAGAGTGATGTTAGGAAGGTCCAGTTTGTAGTCCATGTTCCAGATGGATATGCAAAAATCTAAATATTTATTTTTACAGATGCAAGATCTTTAAAAACTGATTACTAGTAATATCATGCAAATAAAAGTTGCATTTGCATGAAATTAATTTTCTAGATTTAATACATTTTTTTCTTATCCCAATTTTTTCTGAAGACAGAATCAGCAGTGAAAGCCCTCCTTCATGCTGTCATAGAGAACATTTCTCCTCACTTTCCTGGTCACAAAACATCACTGAAGCCACTTGTTCCTGTGAGAACCAATTTACCTTTACACTGTGTATAAGCATGAACAGTTCCAGGTCCTGGTGTCAAGTTACCAACTTTATGCAATTTGACAAGTGGCCCCAGCTTGTTTCATGTACCAGGGTTTCTGTCTGCTACTCTACATCACCAAATTGAAGGGATTTGTAGCTGTCTTTAGGGCAGTGCGCCAGTGGTAAACTTGGGAGTTCATCAAAGTGAGGCAACATCTCCCTGCAGCCACTCCCAGGGCATGCACTGTAGTTTGGGAACCACGGGACTGGGCACTGGTTACAAAGGGCTCTGAGAGGTAATTGCTATGTCAGTGCTAAGTATTATTATTATTTTTCTAGCTATCAAAAGCCAAAAGATAATTATATGATACACAATACATCATACTAGAGTGGAAGACATACTTGTCCGTGGTTTTGGTTACAGTTTTGTGGAATCAAAATGTAGGGGAGCTATATCTTTCACCGCCCATAAAATGAGAACAGCAAAAGGAGGGTTGATATCTAATATACTACTGGTAAAGAAAAATACATGAAAATGTCAGGGAAGGGAATTTTTTTGAGCTGTATCTGGCCAAGATTTGGATCTGACTGACCCTGGTGGCTTGTCCTCCAACCAACACAAGACCTAAGGCATCTCCCACTTCCTCACATGCAGAAGCACTTGCAGAAAAAAGCCATGCTTGGGGAAATATGGAAACTTTGTCTCCTCATGACAGTGCTCCTCATCCTGGAGATGCTGACCCTCACATTTACCAGCATATACTGACAGAGACCTTCACATTTACAAGTATATACTCATGAACACATTTTTGCCAATTAATAAATTTTGAATTTCTACTCATTGCACCTAATTTCTATTCCTCATGCAGAGGACTCCTGCATGACTAGGCTTCATACCTCAACCCTTCCCAAACTATACGAAACATGAGTGATCTGCAATCCTCACTCTGCAGAAAAGGAATTGCACAACAGAATTTTACAGATTTCACACCTGGATTAGATATCTCATTCTTTGCTGGATTCCAGTGGGTATTGGGTGCTTCTGTATCTCTGAAACTTTAGAGAAGGGCCTGAAATCACACAAGCTACATGGGACCTCTTGGAATATTTCCAAGCTTTTCTAGGTCCTGATGGACCAATCTAGGCAGCAGGATAGGATCCCGATCCTTTAAATTCATATTAATAAGATCCTATTTGCAATTAATAAAGCAAATGAACTCACTGGTTTGAAGGCTGACAGCAATAAGTTTACTGCAAACACAGAGTTGTACGCTTCAATGCTATAACAAACACAAAAACCCCTATGCCTGTGATGAAATTATTACTGTTGGCCCTGTGGGATATACAGAGCAATATCAGAAATGCTGGTTAAATGTTGTTTGTACACTGTACCCCTCCCTTAAACACCAGCCTCTAATAATATACCACAAAACAGCAAGTCAGCATACAGATGTCTAATAATCAGTTATTTTGTGGGTAGTCTGGCCTTGCTGAAAGTGGGTCCAATCCCACACAGGCAATACTAACCCTTGCAAATACAGTCAGAACCTATTTGCAGATAAGGGCAGGAGCAGTCAGGACCAGTTCAGGATTTTATCGTATTTAAATGCCCCATAAATAATCTGTAATCCCAGTCCTGCAATTGCCACCACATGACTGGAACTCAGAAATAATGCCTCATTCTTAAAGGATGCTTTTGAGCAGTGCATCTTGAGTGGCTACAGAGACATATCTTCACCCTTTTTTACAATGTGGGAAACCAGTGCACACGAAGATGCAAGAGTACAAAATGAAAAGTCAGTAGTCTAGACAGGAATAAATCCCAAGAGAAGAGAAGAGCCTGATATGCTCTTCTCCAGTGCACTGGGGGAGCTTTGAAGAGATAGTTGTGGCATCATAGCTTCTGCTTTCAAATCTACTATAAAATCCATTGCACTCATAATAATTTCAATCTGTACATCCTATAGACTCATTTACGTCACCAGAATTGCTTTCATTCCGTAGGCATGAATGTATTTTGGGTTTTGTTTGTTTGTTTTTTTTCATAATTTACCCTGTGAAAGAAAACAAGTACAGAGACATTAAAAGTGGAGGGACATGAGTTATGTCTTCCCTTACTCTTAGGCCCTGATTCTTCCCATTTATGAATTAGCTAATACATGAGAAGTAATAAAGATTTTATTAGGATGTTTATGCTTCAAGCTAAGTCAGTGAATAAATAAGGAATATTATTCTTATAACTCTACTTAAAACAGAATTCAAGCATTTCTGAAGTGACTCAGAAAGAGAGAGGTAAAAGATCTACAGGAATTTGAAAGCTGTAGTCATAGACACTTTTCTGCCTTTTGAGTGTAGAAAAGCCACCCATGATTGAGTGCAAGGTAGATGAGGATGAATCATCAATTAGATTTATGTTGTTTTAGCTGAGCAGTGTAGATATGGGGGGGTTTTTTCAAAGAGATACTAAATAGTGATTTCTAAAGTAAAAACACATTCCTCTCCACTGCCCCACCCCAATGTTATTAGGATTTCTTCCAACTGTCATTGCAGTGTCTGAGTGCTCAGTACAGCAAAAAAAATCCATTTAGTCTTGGCTTGGGTTTTCAATGGGAGCCTGGTGGCTCAGACTCCAGGGAAAATGGAAGCTCTTATTAAAGTACTTAAATTGTAATCTTTTCTAGGACTTGAAAACATTAACGCTGACCCATTTCCCATGAAACAGGATGAAGAGTCAGCGTAGTCTCACACTTTTGCAGTGGCCTCTAGTCATCCCATGTCTCTTCTCTGCTACAGATAGGATAATTTGGTGATCTGACTACATCTGTATAACTACATGGGTCAATTTATCCCACTCACAGCTGTCAGTTCACTCCACTCATTCCAATTCTCCTTCAGCACTTCCCATATTCCCACATATTCCCAGCTGGAGGTTACTGCTACATCTTACTCTTCTCCTGAGCTGTTTCAACAAGGAGTGACCTTTCCAGGGAAAATGAACTGTTCTGGTTTAGGAGATGTACACAGCTGTTCTTTGCTAGTCCCTGGCCGAAACAAGATACAGGGTATTTACAGCCATGCTGTCAACACAACTGTGGAATAATGGATCAAAGGCAGTAATTTTTATAGCCTGTACAAATTCAGCTGCAGGTCACCTTTCCCTTGATACTTCCCTAGCCTGCTCATCTGTGGTTTTCACATACCTATATGTATATATATTGTTTTGCATACATATGTGTATGTGTATCTTATAGATATGATATACATACATACTTTTTTTTTTTTTTTTTTTAGAAATCTGTAGCCACAGTTATAGGGGAAGAAAATTAATTTTAAAAGGTACAACGTTTTCATTTAGTATAACAGTTTGGAAACAGAATCCACAACAGAATGATCTTTGCTTGAAGAAAGAAAAAAAAAAAATTGAAAGAGATCGGAATAACCAGGCAGAATGGAAAATCCTTTCAAAAGACAACAATAGTATAAGCCCTCAAATAAAAGGTTGTGTTGCCAGGAAAAAATACCTTTGAGCCAATGTAACAATAACAAAAACATGAAGAAACCCTTAAGAAGAAAAATACAGAGGGAGTAAAAGAAATGCTCTAAAGACTCAGAAAGAATAAGGACACAAATCGAACTGACAGGCTAACTGCTGTTTTGTAAACCTCTGCACTAATAATTCAAATGTAAAACCACTAAAAATTGGGAATGTTTTAGCATGGGTTCCCTCTTTCCACACATTGTCACAAAAGATACATAACTGAACCCAACTCCCTTAATTGCATTAATATTACCAGCCATAGAGAAAATCTGATGAAGATTCAAAGAGCAACTATCTTTGCAGGTTGGAGGTGGCTAGAGGGACTTCACAATAGCAGTGACCCTTCGAAAGAAGGGCAGACAATGTTCAAAGCTCCTGCCTGAAAGTATCCATTGCATAATGGGGGAAGTTCCTACAAGTCCACTGAACTCATACCCAGC